GCCTGGCTTGATTCCAGTTTGGAATCGTCCTCGTTTGAAGTAGACGCTTCTATAGATGATACTGACAGATCAAGAGGAATGATCGGGGTATTCGGTGTTATCGTGTCACTCTGTTTTTTATTCTCAAGTTGATTTCTACATTTTTTCCACAGCTCAAAATATTGATGGGGATGAGAACGGTTTAAATTGTAAGACATGACAAACTCATTTCTTATCATCTGGCCAACTTCACCTTCTATAACCTTGATCGTACTTCGTAGATCCTCTTTTTGGTCATGAAGACTAGAGGTTGTGGTGCCTTTTTGGTTTTGTTGCGCAATTTCTTGCCTTCTATTACTTATGCAGCGTGAGTAGTCAACTGCATCTGGAGACATTGGATATAAACCACAAACTCTAAATGAATTTTTTATCGTAGTTGGCTTAATGCTTCTGTCGTAAGCTATTTTAAACAACGCAGCAAAATTTTGTTTTGTTATAGGTACAGTGGATGCCTGTTTATGCTTTCTCACTACCCTTTTCCAATTTTTCTTCAACGGTCCAAATATTCCTACATCACAGGGCTGCAAAATATGAGTTGAGTTGGGATATAAACAGAAAATCATTATTCCTTTTTCACGACAGAAATCAAACATGTCACGATTGATATGGGACTTGTGGCCATCCAGAAATAGCAATACAGGCAACCGGATTTCATTTTTTACCAACCATTCATAAAATAACTTAATGTAGGTAAAAAATACAACTGATACCATCCACCCGCTGTCGGAACGGCCAATATACCAAGTATCTGGGAAATTTTGAATTACGGCTGGTGGCATTCTTTTATATGGATACAAAACAAACGGTGGTACATCAGTACCATCAGCAGAGAATGTACATAGGACTGTGATTGATTCTTTTTCTTTCCCACTTGCGATTTTGTATGTATTTTTATAATTTTTGGGCCCCAAAATCAGCCCCGTTTTAAGACAAGTCATGACGCCAGTTTCATCTGAATTGAAAATACGAGTCGGGTCATCTTTAATGTCTAAGGCATTTTCTTCCTCTAAAAACTTGTTCAATTCTGTAAACCAATTTCTGATGGCCTCTTCTGTAACCGCTGCCCTAGCTTTTGATATTATTTCAGCGTTTCTTTTAGTTACTTCGGGATGTCTTCGCAAAAACAAAGTAAGCCATTTTTTCCCCGGTCGGCCTTTTGTAAATTTATTCTCCCTCTCATTTTGTTTCAAGAATATTTCCACAGTATCATAAACTTCTTCCGGGTGCATTGGAAACCCAAGTTTAGCTTTTGTTAAAATCCAGTCTGCTAGCTTGTTTTCTTCGTCGAAAGTTAGTTGTGTTAATGGACCCATTTTTCGTTGCCATGGTACTTTATTATTTAATTTATTACTTAACGTTGATTTGGGTATGTCGTATATTTTGCTGGCTTTATTAATAGACAAATCGTTATTTGTTATACGGGTAAGAGCCTCCTCTAACTGTTGTTGAGTATAACGGAATCTTGCGTATTTCTTTTTAGTAGATTCCATTATTTTTGAACTAAAAAAAAAGAGAAATTGAAGTTGAAGCGTCTGAATATTTTTTTGTAACTAATTACTGAGATAAAACTAAATATCACTGCTTGAAATATAACAAAACATTAATAGTTTATTTATTCATTCATTGGATTTTAAAAACCAGTAAATGAACGTAGCAATAATACTATAGTTCATTCATTGGTTTTTGAAAACCAGTAAATGAACGTAGCAACAATACTATATATAGTTCATTCATTAGATTTAAAAACTAGTAAATGAACACTAGGGTGTTCGAATACTGGCCTAAAGGTAGACAATCAATAATTAAACCTTTCTACAAAAAATAAACCAATTCTGAGAACAGAAACATGCAAAATTAGCCAAAAGTAACAAAACAGACCAGAACCAGTGAATGAACACTCGTTCATTTACTAGAACTTTCTCACTTTCATGATCTAGTAATCGAACACCCCTTTATTTTTATTAAACACATGAAATTATAAACAAGTTGTTTTCTAATGAATAAAATAATCATTGTTCTATCTTATTATGCAGTTTTCTTTACACTGTCACTCATATAACGTGAACAACGCTAATACCAAAATGCACTGTCTTACCTGAGTCCTAAATTCTCGCTCATACAATCACGAAACACAACACAACACGTCCACTTTAAGCAGTCGCCATTTTGTAACTACGGGTCGCTGGCAAATGTTTGTGTGACCAGTTTACGTAAAAAAATTAGACCACTCGAAAAAAAAAATACAGTGTTTGGTAGAAATGTTTACTTTTCTTATTATATTGAAAAAACTCACTTTTGTTCATTCACTGGGGGGTGTTCATTCATTGGTGCACTTACCCTATATCGTCGTCAAATCGAAGTTGATTCATGTACTTGCTTGATGTTAATACCGTATCCTTTTCTGTACAGTAAGTAGCTTGAAAACGTCTTCCAATGCAGCGGTGAAGAGTTTCGGGGATATAACGTTACCCTGTCTTATGGACGCCACACACGGTCAGTTCAACTGATCATTCCAACTGATCAGTTCAAACTAAAACTGTTGATATTTTTTTAAATATTGAATTTTCTATGTATCGATAATTATAAATATCGGAGTTTACGTATAAGTTTATTTATCTATATATCGAAAATCCAATATTTTAAAAAACATCAACAGTTTTAGTTTGAACTGATCAGTTGGAATGAGCAGTTGAACTGACCGTGTGTGGCGACCATTACACTTCTTTACAGTTGGATGGGTTTCTTACTCTGATTCTGTACTCGAATAGTCATCGTAGTTCTACTGTACAAACATTTCAGCACTTCGTTATACAGATAGCCAACTTAGCACTGCTGAAAGAACTATACACCGCCCATATTTCGACGGAATCTAAAGCTTTCTCATAGTCCACATACACAAGACAAAGTGGCAAATTGTACTCTTCGGTCTTTTGTACAATTTGCCGAAAGGTATGTATGTGATCTATGTACTAAAGCCTTTTCAAAAACCTGCTTGTTCGGGAGGCTGGAAGTCGTCGAGTCTGCGTGCGAGACGATTCGTAATGACTCTCGAAAACAGTATGAAGAGGCTCAGAAGGAAAGTAGATCTGTAGTTCTTCAAGAGAGTGTTGTCGCCTTTCTTGTGGAATAGGTCACCGCACTTCTACTTCACGTCTTCGGAGTAGTCTCATCATGGAGGAAGAAATTAAAAAGCTTCCGAAGAACTTCAAGTACTTTTTCCATCCGCCTGTCCATCTATCCTCGCCTAGGGCCCTGCCCTTTGTAAGGTGCTGGAGAGCCATTCTAATCTGACAAAGACTGACGTCCGGGATATCATCGGAATAGTGTTGGATAACACTTACTCTTGAATCATTACTTACATTTGTGTGTGGCTCCAACGATGACGTGTACAGGTACCCTTAGAACCTCTCAATCTCACTCAAAATCTCAGGTGTTCCGGAAACGATGCTGCCATACTCGGTCTTCAGCTTTGACAGTTGGCTCTTTCTGGCAGACAGATCTCTGCCAGACTTTGGAGCCTTGGTTCCGCTCGATCGCTTATTCAATACACAGCCCGTATTGAAGAACAATTCTATTATCGCTTAGACTAATGTCCGGGATATCATGCGAAAATGCGATGTTTATTTATAATTTATGTCAGTTATTGTGAACTTTTGAAGCTAGACTTTTTACCTTTGTGATAAATAGCAAGCTTATAGAACTACTGGAAAGCAACGCAATTAAGGAACTTGATGTAATAATGGAAATCTAAGCTAAAAGAACTATAAAATAAAATTACTAGATTTTTTTAAATCTGAATTAGTATTTATGTAATTTGAAATTATAAGAAAAAGTTATAAAAAGTTGGAAAAGATGTAGTTATGGTAGCTACGGTCGGGTAAGTTTCGCTATCGCTCTCACACTGTCACAAGGATTTTTCTTTAATTTTTTTGGTCCTATTTGAAGTAGGAGTTCTAGAAATTAAATAAGAAGGTATCATGGCACATTATCAATCAAATAAACGTTCTTAAATCAAACGCTTGCAACGAATTCTAAAATCTTGATGTATATTTTTCATCTTATGGCCGTTATCGCAACTGTGAAGCATATTAATTAGTTCTCATTAATTCGTTTTTAAGTAGCTACTTATGAATGCGCGGAACGGAACGTATTTTCTACAGTTGCTTATGCAGTGAGATTACAACTCTCAAACCGTGATGTCGCGATCCATTCAGGAATTTAATTGTACTTAGTATATTTATGTTGTTAATTCTTTTTTACTATACATTATGTGCTAGATGTGTCTTTTTAGTTAATTTTAATCTTAAAAAATTGCTTTAAACGTTGATAGTGAATCAGGCATGACTTTAGACTTCATAAAGTCATTTATTATGATTTATTTTTCCTTGAGTTCATGCGTCTGGTCACAGACCTCTAAATCAAATAGAAAATATGTAAAAACGTCAAAATACTATTCAGAATCTTCTCTAACAGCTGTGAACTTTACAACAAAGTGTAATTTTTTAGAACTCGGTTGTTTTTTTACTCCTTTCCTACGTCTTTCAAATTCAAAATCTACACAGGAACATTTTTATAGAAAAAAACGCCAGCTAAATCTAATGAGGCACTTCTATGTCACTCCTGCGTTGGACATAGAAAAATGGCCACAATCCGTTTTACATGGAAAACTTATCGGTGAAAAATTAAAAAATAAGCCAAATTCTTATAAAAAAAATCAAAACTTATCGATTTCAATAAATTCGATTATTGCTAATAACGCTCCTGGTCCGTTGAGAAGTGTGAGCCCCATTAAAAAAAAATTACTTCAATCCATTAATAATCCCTCTATTTACGAAGTAACTTCAATACCTGTTACTGAATTTTACGTTCCGACTTCGACTTACCTCTATACCAATGAAATCAAAACTACTCCGAAATCTGTAGATAAATCCCAACGACAAAACTTGCAATTGAGTTCAAATATGTACAGTAATAACGACGTAATGGCTAAATTTATGCAAGCATTGGATCAATTGGAACGAAAATTTTATAAGGTAAGATACATTAATATTGTTTCTAATAATTTTCATATATCGCTTAAAATAATTTTCACAATATTTTCTATGTATTTTTTCATTATCAAATGATAACAATTTCTTTACTTAATGTGTTTACTGATTAAAATACATACTTCTCCTCAAACACTAATTAGCTGATTCTTTATTAATCAACATCAACACGGTATAAGGATATTTTTAATAACTTTGACCAATGAAAAAAGTACTGGCCCCTTTAAAAGGTTTTATAATATCAAATTGTTCGTCATTTATTCGAGATTGATTCCAAATTTTAATAAAAGAAAAAATATGACGTGTTGCCGGTAAAAATTGAATTGAACGAGAGAGAGTTAATTGTTTTTGTTTTTGCAAAGCAAATATATGCTGCAGAAGTGAATGGAAGAGTCGGAAAGGGACGTCCTAGGCGGAAGTTTGTCGACCAAATTGGCGATATACTAAAAATGGGCCAAATTAAGAGTACCCTTAACCGACAAGCATGTATGCGTAGGTATATGGATGTGGAAGAGGCGAGAGAGGTATGTCAGGATCGTGCTAAATGGAAGTCTGTAGTCTCTGCCTCTCAGAGGGGTCTCTGGGTGACAGGCGTGAGTGTTTATGTTTTTGTTTTTTTTTTTTGTTGAAAACCGCTATTTAGATGTCTATTTCATTCAACTTGGATTGACAGATAATTTGACTTTTTATAGCAATGCAACGTAGATATTTTAATTGCGAAGAGATGTTAAGAACAGTCGGAATGCAGCAGGCTGGTGCTTTTCAAAGTGACGTCGCCGCGACAATAGGTACCAAGCAAAATCTGATTTCGAGGCTGTAGTCACGCTATCATGCCACGGGGGAGGTGACGGAAACACTAAGACCGTTTTTTTGCAAATTTCTGCGAGAAAGCAACCAATGTTGCAATGTTACAAGCAATGCCATTGGTTCAACGGTTACAGTCTAAACACCAGGTGCTTGTGAGTGACCAAACCGTGAGGAGCGTACGTGCTTGTTAACCACTTCGAGCTCCAGCTCTAAGAAAAGGAAATCATGAACGAAGACTGAAGTAAGCTAGAGAACATGTGAACTGATGGGAATCTCATAAATGGTCGTTGAAGCTTTTTACTAATTAATCCCGATTTGGTTTTCATCTTGATTCGGGGAGGGTGCGTGTTTGGAGAGTTCCTGGCATGGCGTGTAGTTATGGTGTAGGCAGAAATTCGTTTTGGAAGAAGAACGGACTTCGTTTGAATACAGAGCACTATGACGGCAGAAAAATACCATAAGGTGCTAAAACCAATACTCTTGCTACATCAAACACAAATGGGTCAAAATTTCCTAGTTATCCACGATAATGCCTGTTCACATAAGGTGTTAACAGTCTCGTTACACGAACATGATGTCAAGGCCCCAGAATGGCCCAGCGAAAACCCCAGTAATAAGTCCCATTGGACATGCTTGGGATTTACACCAAAATTCAGCTCCAAAGAAGAGCTCTGAGGGTGAAAAGAACGGGGCAGTGGTAAAGAAAGTGGACTATGTGTGTTTGTGATTTTCACATCGATAACTAAACTGAGCTAATGGACTGTATGATTAACTATATGAGACAACAACTAGCTAGGGATGGTTCTTACTCGTACAAGAATGGTACAACGAATCTAACCAACTTATACAATAAATTTATTTTCTTAATTACAATAGTATCGCGGCAGTACTATACTTAAACTATACAATTCTATTATATAGGGAGCACTGAGAGGGATTTCTTCTTCTTTTGTTTGTTGTCTGGAGCTCTTCTTTGCCGCGAATGAATCCGGCAACCAGGCGCTCGACATCTTTACTCCCGCGGTCGGAATCGCGTAGGTGGTGAGTTCCCACAATTAGGGATTTTCCCTAAAATCTGCTTACAGATGAACATCTTTTTATACATGTCAGTAGGACCTGGGTCAATATTCCCCAACAAGATATTTTAAATCTCATGTTGGGTATGCCCAACCGATGCAGATGCGTTATGAATGTCATGGATGCTTTTACTGATTTTTAACTCTTAACTAATAGCCGCCTATATGATTTAACTTTAGATACTTTATTTCTTAATATAAAAATTAATCTTTCATGATGATACAGTTTTCACACTTTTCTCAAATCTCAAATATATACATACATTGACTTTAAATGTAAAGTCAATGTTTATGTAAAAATAATGCCATTCCTGAAACTCGACGAAAATCCATTTATGTTTTGTTTTTTTCTCTTTATTTTTTGAAAATCTTTAAACGGCTCGACAAAATTTTAGTCAGCTCGAAGTCTCAATGAACTCTTTCGAATGCCGCGTCGCCCTTGTCGATCGGTTTATTCCTTCTAAAGATACGTTTGGTTGACTGGCAGAGAATGCCATAAGGCATTAAGTCCGCCATTCATATGCCTTAATATAAGGTGTACAATAAAGATTAAATAAATAAATAAAATAATATACACGCATGCACGCACACACGCACGCACGCATACACACACACACACACATACACACACACACACACACACACACACGCACGCACGCACACACGCATGAAAGTACGCACGCACGCACGCACACATACACACAAAGCCGGTCACCCAGCCGGAAATAGTCGTAACGGCTTCCTAGGACCTCAAAACGTGGAGTTCTGATGAAAATTCGCATTTTCAAAATCGGACGTAATCTAAACTTCCTACTTTTCAAAGCAGGAAGTCAAAAAAAGTAGTTTATTAAAGACAATTACATGTCTTAAGAAAATATTGACATACTATGAAAAGTGTTGATGTGTTTATTTGTAAAAAGGGTGAAATTAATGCTCTGAATTTTTTAATAAAACCTGTTATCAAGACTATTTGTTTTGTAATTCGTCATAGAACGTATTTATATATTGAAAATATTTGCCATACTTATCAAAATATCGTAAAAGCCTGGTAGGGATACTGTTTATAACACGATTAATATTTTTACTATAATTGTAAAATGTATGTGTATGTTGGATTTTTTTAACATGAGACGGGGAAAACGAGCCGTTGCGGGCCTTTAAAAAAAGAGTAGACTATTTATTTGAAGGTCCCTAAGTCGTATCATTTCGGAAAAATTGCTGATGGTAATCGAATCCACAAGGAAATTGTGCGAAAAAGAAAACTTATTGTAAATTGCACAGCGATGGACCGCCAATCATCTAGATGGTATGGATGATGTCGCGAGTTATGTCCTGATGTGCGATGATGAAATTGAGCGGCTGGAATAAGTCCAAACAATTCCTCTGCACACTCCCCGGTATGGTACGGAAGATGCGATAAATTACGCAAAGAGATGCAACATCCCTTGGCAGCGCCAGTGTGTCAAGCCGATCCAAAAGAGCTCGATCGCTGACGATTCGAACCTCTCTGCGCTAAATGCGATCAATTAGAAGGAACTGGTACATGGGTGCCTAGGCCCGGAGAATAGAACAGTATTCAATGTGAGGCCGAATTTGCGCCTTGAAAGTTACAAGAATTTACAGAATGAGGTTAAATTTGCACAGAATGTTTGTTTTGCCGAGACCATGGAAGTAGTTAGTTAGTACCAGTTCTGGCTCACTGAGTCAGAAGTGGTACAACGTTCGTCGACTCACGATCCTAAAAAAAAGGTTTTGGCATGCTCTGATCACGATTCTGCGGTCCTTTTTTGCGTAGGATAAACGGTTCCGCAGATGTGCAGATCAATTAACTCTTATCTAATTGATAACCGGTGAGGCCCTCCACCGTAATTAGCGCTTATCTATTGTTCATTGAATACCGTCATTATTTTTTGCTCGGCGTGTGCGTCGGATTATCAGTGCTATTGTATTAGTTTCGGCCAAGTTATCCTTTCAATTATTTGTCGCCAAAAGACAAAAAACTGTTCGTTATTGTGAAACACACGTGCAAGGCATTCCATATTTTGATGTGACCGAAGAATTAAAATGTGCCTACAAACAAGAGAACATCATTCCTATATTAAATTGGTATATTAGAAATTTGTGCAAAGACGAAGTGATCGCATACAAAGGTGGTTCAACAGAAAAACAATTTTTAAAAATGTTGCTGACGAATGATAGAATTTTTAATATTGAAGAATACAAATGTCCAAAATACAATGATTTGGTAAATGTCATAAATTTAAACAAACGTTATGTGTGTAATAATCAAATATTTGTAAAAAATAATCACAAAATTTTACATTGTTCTTGTGACGAAGTGTGGGTTTTTTACAAGTGGTTATTGCTTGAAAATAAAATTTTAAATTAATCATAAATTTTGTTTGATTTCCCAAAAACATTAGTTATAGTACACAATATATATTAATTGTTTACACCAACACTTTCATTTTTTATTTCACCCCTTAGAACTTTAGACGTGTGTAATGTTTCACTTTATACATCCGTTTACTGCTATTGTGGCAGGACGAAGTGGATGTGGGAAGTTAAATTTTGTAACAAATTTCATAAAATCAGTTAAAGAAATATGTAATCGTGATTTTAATCAGATCACATGGTGCTTTAATGAAATGCAACCTTTATATAATTTACCAAATGTTAACTATCATCAAGGAATTCCAAATCTTAATATGTTTGATGGTGAAAACCCACATCTCGTTATTATTGATGATCTAATGAGAGAGTCCGATGTAACTTTAAGCTCGAGCAGTGTTTTGTATTAGATTAAATAGAAGATTTATAAAGAAATAGAAAATAATATATTGCATACAATTTGTTTTATTTAATTTTAAAACGTTTCACATAGTTACAAACACACAAAACGCATTACACATAACTTATAAAATCTAACACACAACACATATTATAACCTTAACTACTATAATCTACAGTAACATTTCTGTTTTTATCTATCTCAATAATATTATCAAACTCAGCATAAACTATACAGTTAATTGTTTGTATTTGTGAGGATTCAAAACTTACTTCTAATCTTACACTAACATGCTTTATGAGATTCCAATG